GTCTCCTAGGACCTTTCTGACAAATAAAAACGATGTTTGTTCTAATCCGTCTGACTCATCTCACCACTGGGCTTGTTTTTTGTTTCTTTTGGGACGCTTCCTGCAGATCTCAGGGAGTAAAATCCAAACAACACGACTGCCAGAACTATTTAACTAACATTTTCCTTGATGCAACGCTGGTTGGTGCATTTTCTCATCGGGAAGTTTTATAAAACTCAATAACTTGGAGCAGAGCTTTCTTCGGGTCTGGATGGTCGCTGCCAACAGACTGAGGTCATTCATCTGGTTTCCAACCCTGCTCACCAGTCTCAAGAACTCTACAGCAAGAAAACAAGGAAAGAAAGAGGAAGGAAGATGGAGGCGGATCGCTGTAGATGTAAATTGACTCCGGGATTCAAGGAATCTCGAGGGACGAAACAGATGAAATGATCTCATGGATTTTCTCCTTATTACACATGAATGGTTATCTTCAGCGAGTGACATGAGAGAGACGGGGGGGCGAGATGTTTGTGGCGACGACATCAGAGGTCAAAGTATTACACTGATGAAAGCAAAGGAAGGTAGGAAGGAAGGAAGAAGGAAACGAGGAGTTGGAAGAGTGAGACCAAAGAAAGAAAGAAGCCATAAAGAAACGAATAAAAGAAAGACGGATGAGGGAAATAGGTCGGTATGAAGTCAGTGCTGAGGGACTGGGTGGAACCAGATGGGAAACACATGCTGTGACACACAGACACACACAGAGGGATGAGTGTTGGAGTCTGATGATGACCTCTTGACCACACTCTTCCTCTCTCCTCCAGCTGATGTAACCTCACAGATAATTCACTTGGCCTCGTCTCTGTCGCCTCAGCGGCATTCTGGGTGTTTCGCTCTACGCCTCGATAGGACTTTAAGTCTGTAAACGATGCAGAAAACACGGCCGAGCTCATCTCCCCATCTTCCCGTGCATACCTTACATGCAACCTCAATCTTACATCATCAATAATACAAAGAAATATAAGCATTTTATTTTGTACAATACACCTCATAAATAATCCATTTCAAATAATAAATGTATTCTACCTCAACGTGTTTTTGTGTCTGGGACGAGTATCGAGGGAGAACTCTGCAGACGGCCGCTGGAGAAGAATCGCTGTCCTCAGACTGTTGTGATAAGAGTCTGAAGACAAGAATGACTCCAGAGGAATTAACCCTTTTTCTCTCGGTTGGCTCAGAGAAGTCTCGTGCTGATCAACGCGGCAACGTGATCATCTCTTCATCACGGCGTCATCAAACAACGGGAACAGAGGAAAGAAGAAACACCTTCAGGAGAAGCTGCAGACCCGTGAGCGGTGTTGGTTTGTGCTGCTCGTCAACGTGTGTTTGTGCAGCGCGTGTGTGTCTGTGCGTGTTGTGGAGGGGGGGGGTTAGGTGACACACAGCATGGTGCCTTTCGCTCCTCCGCTTTCAGTGAAGCTGAAGCGTGAACGGCGGTCTCCATGGCGATGTAGACACCTATCGTCATGCCCCGGGGACAGCGCCAACGTGGGTGTGTGTGTGTGTGTGTGGGTCCATTAAGCAATACACACACACACACACTTTGTGTAAAAAGATTGCACAATGAAGAAAAAGCAGACGAGTGAACTCTGCAGTGAAACCAAAGCGAACATTTACGCTTTGATCAACGTCCTGGAATAAAAATGAACTGTATGTTGTTTGTATTCTTTTTTTGTAGCTTTGCTTATTTTACATCACAAATTATTATAATTTCCATGGTTTTAGACTATCTTTTTAATAAATACTTATACACATATATATCAGAAATTAGATCATCGTTTTAGTACAATAACCATCAAACTATGAACACTGTCGTATCGTCGCCATTGTTTCTTGTAAAATCGGACGTGACGTCAGCGGAGGAGCGGTCGTCACGGTAACGGCACAGAGGATTTCCCCGATGTGGCTTCTCCGGTAAACATATAGCGTTTGTACATCATCCACCGGTCCGCCCAGTTCCGCAGGTACTGAATACCTGGACAGGCGTGACCGAGCAGAGAACTGAGCGTTCACCTGTCAACAACCAACCGGCTTCTTTTGTCTGCTGCTGACTCGTGTTTGTTTCTTTAAGTGAGTCAAGTGGTGCATTCTGGGAAAGGGCTTGGTAAGGATGACCAGGACTGATGGGAAATACATGAACATACACACACACACACACACACACACACACACACACACACGCACATAAGTTTCAGATTGTTTCGGATTGTATTGACTGTGGTTCCATGAAGGATGTTTGAATTGGTTTGTTACCTGAGGGAACAGGTAGCTGAGGGGACACTGGTGGTCGACATCTACGACTGTTATTAACCAGTGATGCAGAACCCACGCTGACATTCAGGTGGACCTCTTTGTGGGACCCGTTCACCTGATTCTGGGTCAGCGGTTCATCTTCTTCATCAATGAAGCCAAGAAGGTCTCCCAACAAAAGGGCGAATGCATGGCGCCTTTGTTGTGGATTTATTATGGAGTGACGTTACACTTAAGGTGATGGGGGGCTGGTGAGCAATGTCATCAACTAAAATTGTGTGTGAGAAAGCGTCCTGGCGAGCGTCCCGTGCCGATGCTCCTCTTCCAGGTAGGCAGTGAGAACCGGCCCGTGTGCAGTAGGAGGTTACCCGATGATCTGCGTGAGATCTCGTGGTTTAACAGGTGGTTCTTTGAAGTAATGAATCAGCGAATCAGTGCTCATTTATTGCGGTGTCTGCGGTTCATCGCAGTAAATACGTTTGAACTGGGGAAGTTCTGACCTGAAATGTCTGACGCCTCCTCCTGGAGAACTCTGAAACTCTGAAACGAGAAAAGAAACTCGCTCGGATAGTCGGCCCGTTGCCGGACGTCTGATTGGCCAGTTGGGTCACCGATGGTGTCGGCGCTGCCTTTAACCAGTCAGACCTCTTACACGGTTTCCCTTTTACCGCAGTGAGTTATTGAGGTCAATCGAGTACCGCTGACCCTCGTAAATAATGCACTCGTGGCTTCTGGCTAAATGAAATTGATTGAACAACGTATTGGCATTGGAGCAAACACAACAACAACAGCTACAGTTTAAAAGTATTAGTAAGTACATTCAGAACGTGGCAGAGAGATGAACATATTCATGTTCATGAAAGATTCTCAAAATCAACGTCAGGAGACGTCGAAACGTTTGTTTGTTTATTCATTCCTTTCTACAAACACAAAGAGAAACCAGACAAAGAAACCACAGCTAAGACGTGTTCGAGTCTGTTCCGCTCCGGCGCCACGTGGTCGCTGACGTACGAAATGGAATAAGGGAAGAAAAGAGCAGCAGTAGTTCATCACAACGCGCCACCAACCAGCCGGACCTCTGGGTCCTCGCCTCGGGGCCAGGAAGTCGGCCGGGTACGGAACGTCTGATTGGCCGTCGGCCGGGTCCAGACGTGCGCTCCAGCGCGCCGCCGTGTCCTCTCGACAGAGGTTAATCGTGTACGAACGAGGCCGACCCTCGTTCATAATTCACTCCGGGCTTCCTGCGCGCTCAGCAAAACGTTTGAAGGGTGCTGCTGATTCGACTTGTGGGGAAATAGTTTCATTAAAGAGCAGAAACGAGTCAGACCGGCTCCTCTGCGTCATTACGAAACGTTAGAAAGAGCAGTTTAAGAAGCGCTGCAGCCGACGCTCAGCCAAATAGCGTTTATACGGAACTTTGTGGGGCCGTCTCGGCTTCGCTCGCCTCTTCCTTCGCCCACAACAACCGCTGTTATTAAGAGTTTCATATTTTCCAGTATTTTCCAGATGGTTTTCTTCCAGCTGTCTGCCACCTGCCCGCTCGGCGCACGTCGAGGCATCCAAAAGTCCTCCAGAGATAGTCTGGGGCAACCGTATCCTCGCTGTCAATAAAGCCCGTTTACACCCCTGGATTATGCTTTGAGATTATGTTTGTTCTGCCTGTTTGGTGAATTGTGAGGATGTATTGTGTGGAGCAAGTGAGTGTAGAAGTCCTCGACCCCCCGACCCCTCTTTGCCTGGGTGAGAGCACGAGCATCACCCAAGTGGAGCAAGACAGCTGCAACAATATCGGATTGAAAGAGAAAAAGGAAGGGGGGTGAGAGAGAGAGAGAGAGGGGAAGAGTGAGGAAGAGTGAGGAAGAGGTCAGCGAGGGTCTATTTTTAACTCTCCCTGAGTCGTGTCCCGGCTTGAATGGAAGCACAAAGAATTGTGTTGAAAGGCGCGCAAACGCAAACTATTTCATAACCTTGGCACACAGCAGGCTGCTGAGGAGCCTGAATGTGTGTCCGTGTGTGTGTGTGTGTCCGTGTGTGTGTGTGTGTGTGTGTGTGTGTGATAGGGTAACATATACTTCTGTGGCTTTGCAACATGCTTTTGGTCCACCAGCCACCGTGTCTGTGTGAAACCAAAATCATGCCGGCCACTTCGACTTATGGTAATTAAGCCTGCCGGAATGTGTGTGTGTGTGTTTGGTCTGCGGCCGACTTCTAGTTACATTCTGGTGGTGGTCACATTGACATTGTGTCCTCTGCTGCTCGGTCCTATTCTAACTGGACCGCTCAGCAAGCAGCACAGAAACCATCAGGGGGAATTCCATAAAATCTCCCAAATACCATCAGAACCAGTACAACTAGACTACAACCAGAGTAGAACCAGATTACAACCAGACTACAACCAGAGTACAACCAGACTATAACCAGAGTACAATCAGAGTATAACCAGAATACAACCAGAGTACAACCAGACTACAACCAGACTACAACCAGAGTACAATCAGACCACAACCAGAATACAACCAGAGTACAATCAGAGTACAACCAGAGTACAATCAGACTACAACCAGACTACAACCAGAGTACAATCAGAGTACAACCAGAATACAACCAGAGTACAATCAAGAGTACAACCAGAGTACAATCAGACTACAATCAGAGCTAACCTTCTGGGCCCCCAAAGGCCCCCTGAGGAGCCCTTGTGTCGGGTGTGAGCTCACCTGTTGCCGGCGGGGATCCCCTCAGAGAGCGTCCTCACGTGGACATCCTGGAACAAGAAGATAAACTGTCACTCACACCTCAGATCAGTGTGTCATTTGTCTCATTACTGTCCGATGTTTTGCACCACGTCAAATTCCTCGTATGTCTGACACATGTTGGCAATAAATGTTCCTGATTCCGGAGATACCGTTTTTTTCACCAACGAATGATCATAACCTTTTTTATTTTTGTTTTCCTTTGTATTTGAGAATATTCTAGTGGTTCTATTGTGTGTGTGTGTGTGTGTGTGTGTGTGTGCGTGTGTTTGAAGATGTAATTAGGAGTTTCTTGTGTTGTTGTGTGGGTTCTTTTTTGTGTTTATTTCTGAGGGAGTCCGGTCTCTATCGCCAAACAGAAAATAAACAGGATGTGGACGGAGGAAGTGGTCACCGAGGTTGTGAAGCAGAAAACCCCCCTCCCTCCCTTTTTTACTATCACACACAGACACACCAAAAAAGATGAGGGGGAGAGGGGGAGTTAGGGGGACTAAGAGAGAAAAAAACAAGCGTGAGTAAAGTAAAAAGTGTGGAAAAGGGAGGAAGGTTAAGCAGGGGAGAAAAAGGGGGAGAAACAGAGAGAAGCAGGAAAAGTTCCTTCAGTTGATCTGATTTGTGGCAAAAACGGAAACACAATCACACAACCACACACACAACTACACACACAGACGGAAAAGGATAAAAGACACACAAACATGCCGTCAATGTAATGGATGGAAAACAACAGAACGCACAATGACAGAAGTGGACACACGCACACACACACACGCACACACACACACACGCACGCACACACACAAACACACACACACACACACAGGGACGGCTGTTTTGAGATCAGATTTTTCCGAGTCGTCCTCTCGCTGCAGTCTGCCAGGAGGAAGGCAGGGAAAACTGTGACACTGTTTTTCTGTTTCATGTCTGTCACACACACACTCACACACGCACACAAACACGCGCACACACACACACACACACATACAGTCGGCGAGTCCAGTGTTTCCATCCGTCTGAATGGAGCTTTTCTCTGTGTTCATTCTTCTCTTTTATATCTTAACAACATGATCTCTTTTATTCTACACTTTTACCCATAATCCCCTTATACACACATATGAAGGTGACTGTAAGTGTGTCATGTTGGTTCAACCAAGCATCACTATCAGGTGAGCACAAACGTGATGATTGGATGGAAGGACGAGATTTCATGCATTTAATCAGAGCTCATTAGTGTGAAGGTGAACAGACCTATGATGTAAGTCATGTGACGCCACAGGCTCTAAAGGGAAATTAACTATTGCTTTCCCACAAACTGGATCACATCTACAGGATCACATCTACAGGATCACACTACAGGATCACATCTACATGGATCACATCTACAGGATCACACTACAGGATCACATCTACATGGATCACATCTACAGGATCACACTACAGGATCACATCTACATGGATCACATCTACAGGATCACATCTACAGGATCACACTACAGGATCACATCTACAGGATCACACTACAGGATCTCATCTACAGGATCGCAACACAGGATCACATCTCCAGGATCACGCTACAGGATCACATCTACATGGATCACATCTACAGGATCACATCTCCAGGAATACACTACAGGATCACATATAAAGGATCACACTACAGGATCACATGTACATGGATCACATCTACAGGATCTCAACACTAGGACATCAATACAGGATCACATCTACATGGATCACATCTGCAGGATCACACTACAGGATCACATCTACATGGATCACATATACAGGATCACACTACAGGATCACATCTACATGGATCACATCGTACAGGATTACATCTACACTGGACGATAGACCGCGTGGATCACATCTACAGGATTACATATACAGGATCACATCTACATCGACTCTTAAATGAAGTGTGGAAAGACAACAATGTCAGTTTAGCAGAGGGAGAGACGGGCCGATATGCAACAAGGTCACAAGTGCACAACATCTGGAGGAGACGTCTGCAGCTGGGAGGCCGCCAGCAGGACCCACCGGACCCGGTCTGGATCTGAGTTCTGATCCAGGAGCAGAATGTTGGAGTCTGTTAGCCGATAAAGGCTCGCAGACAACAACTGAAATCAATGGAAATAAAAAACAACAACCTGTAGATCCAGATATTCTGAGTCTTGAGCCTGAGGACAGAGGACGGACAGAGACGGGTTGAACATCCCCGACTGAAGTAAAGCGTCGTTCTGGATTCTATTCTCATCTCTTCCCTTTTCTGTCTTTTGTTTTCCCCTCTTCTGTCCTCCTGTGGACGCGTCTCCTGCGACCACAGACGGCTGTGGTTTGTTTCCTGCGTCTCTAAACATCAGACATTCGCTGCAGAACAACAATAGTACGCTACAGCGAGCGTGTGCGTAAAGGATGGCATGCATTTCAAGCAGGTTATTATTGTTAGTGAGAGGGTTCTTTTAGTGAACTACAAATACAATCATTTTGTTTTGTATTATTTGAGCATGTTCTCTGCTCCTGAGAACGCGTGACGCTTATTAACTGCACACTTTTCCTAAAGAGGACAAAGAAAACGACCTCACCCACAAATAAGAAGACGCCAAGACCAAACCAACCGTCAACCAGCCGCCAACCAGCCGTCAACCAACACAGCATGAAACAAGCTACAGATGAATCCCTAATAGGAGCAGGGAACCTTCAACATGCGTGTGTCATGTATGTCAAGATGTGCTGCACTGCAGAGAGGGAAAAGGGAAGGAAAATGCTCAACTCGTTATGGAACCAGAACCCCCCCCTCCTCACCACCCCGGCCCCCAAGACACACACGCACTTACACACACATGCACACACACACACACACACACACACACACAGACCACAGAGGAATTTCCTACTTTCGTATAAAACTGATAATGGGATGTGACCCAGCGGGAGTGGAAAAATCAGAGGTGACTTACGAGCCTCCACATTCCAACCTCACCCACACACACACACACACACTCACCCACACACACACACTCACCCACACACACACACACACACACACACACACTTACCTACACACACACACACACACACACTCACCCACACATACTTACTCTACAGACACACACTTAAAAACACTATATTTTACTCCACGCAGAGAAAAGTTGGTGGATAGAACCTGTGGTGGGGGGAGTGTTGGAGGAGGACGGTGTATTAAGGGAAGCTGGATGACGGGGCATGGAGAGGACAGGCAGGGAAGGATCTGAACAGCAGGAGGAGGAAAATCTGTTCTATCGCTCCTTTATTCACTCAGCATCATCCCACCGAGCTGGTGGAATGCTGCAACGTTATTCAAACCTGGAGACGAGTTTTAAGTGAGTTATTTTGACCTTTCATGCCACTATGACTCCTCCTACACCCCCCTTCATCACTCCCCCACCCTCCTGAAGCATCATCGCCCCTTCTACACATCACATCCCCCCCTCATCCCATCACATCCCTCCGTTCCTGCATCCACCTCCTAACCATCTGCCCCCCCTACACCCTCCCATCGTGAAGCTCTCCTCGCCAGTCCAACCAGAGGCTATGATATACTGCCACTACCTGCTGTGTGTGTGTGTGTGTGTGGGGTCCTGGCAGTGTTTGCAGCACAGAAGGTTTGAGGGTCTTATACCTGCAGAGAGAGAGATGAATGTGGAGTCGTAACACTGGACGCCAAGGTGATGCAGCCACCTGTCCTGAGTGTGTGTGTGTGTGTGTGTGTGATACTAAGACGATGCCAGCTTGTGTTTGGTAACACAAGTTTTGAGGTTGAGCTACGACACAAAAATATAGGTCAGACCCAAATAGATGAAGGAATACCAAGATCTGTTCATGAGTATCTATCCATCCATCCATCCATCTATCCATCCATCTATCTATCCATCCATCTATCTATCCATCCTTCCATCCATCCATCTATATACCTACCCACCGAACTAACTATCCATCTATCCACATACATATCATGATATTATCAACCAATCACCACGTCTCCGGTATTTAAACGTGCTTCCTCCTGCAGCAGCAGGAGAGACATTTTGCTGAGAAACTGCTGCCAGACGAGCATCAAGAACATGGCATTCAGAAAAAATAAAAGTGTTTCCTGTGAGGGATCGAATGTCTCTGCAGGATCATTTTCATACCGCACGCAAATACACGCTGCTAAAATAAAACCGCAGAGTGTACGGGGGGGCGGTTAGCGCCATGAGTCAGTGGATGGGTTTGGGATTAGCCGTTAGCTGCTAATCTAGCGCTTCTCCAGGGGAGCAAAGTCCTCACCTTCGAGGTCCCGCCCCCTAAAACAACAAAAACAAACACCAGTGTTATCGGGACGTGTTTGACACACACACAGACCTACTCCGCCTCATGCACACACACACACGTGCACAGCAAACACACACGTGCACATACCAGGGCAGAAGAAGCACACTTCACTGTCTGAGAATTTGTGAATGGAAAATTGGTTTAACACACTTGGCCGAGCAGCATGGACTTCCTACGCGTCTCCCCGGAGGACAGGAGCGTCTATCTGTCTGTCTCTGTCTGCCTGTCTGTCTGTCTTACTGTCCCTGTCTCTATCTGTCCCTCATGTCATGTTGCTGTGTACCTTTGTACCTGTGTGTGTACCTTTGTTGTCCTTCTGCTGGTCTGCTAGTTTTTTATCAGACGTTCATCTCTTTCGCTGTCTCTTGGTAAACTATTAAATATGTAGTTGTATTAAACTATAAACATGTTTTGATGGCATGAAATATAAATCAATTAAATTAAATTAAAAAAATCAAGTAATCAAGCAAAATTTTAAATAAAAACACCCCCAATGGTCACAGGGACAGGCAGAGATTAGATGAGGGGAGAAGATGAAAGGAAGAGGAGAGGAAGAAAGGATACGAGGAAACAGAAGAAGTAGAAAGGTCCAATAAAATAAACAGAAGGCCGAGAAGATGACGAGGACTCGCTCTCAAGGTCGCTGATATCACACGTCTTC